ATTTTGAAGAGCCAGTAAGATTCTCTTTTAAAATATAGAGGACTAGGCATAACTCAGTGGTAGAGTGCTTGCCTAGCATGAACAAGGCCCTGGGTTCCATCTCCAGCAATGCAAACAAACAAACAAATAAAATACACATTGTGTTATGCAAACCATGAGGGAGAAAGTAAAAATGTGTCAAATCCTGTCTCCCAGAGATTATCATTGTTAAGGCATTGGTGAACATCTTTGCACAAATAGCTCTCCACATACATGGAACTATAGATTAGATTCTTATGTTTAAATGGAATCCTAAGCCTCCCAGTAATTTCGTAGGCTACTGGTTCTCAAAATTTGTTCCCCAGCCCAGAAGGAGCAGTAGCATCACCTGAGAAGTTGCTGGTACCCAGTCCTCTCGTTGATCAGAAACTCTGGGGCTGGTTCTCACACAGTCTGTGTTCTAACAAGCCTTGCAGATAATTCTGATGCTCTCTCAAGTCAGGAAACCTCTGTTGCAAGGGAAAGCAATGTACCAGTCAACGGGACAGGTAATCTGGAGTCAGGTGCACCTGGGTTCAGGTTCTGCACCAACACTTACCAACTCTGTATTTCAGGAACAATATTTAGCCTCTCTGAGCTTCAGTTTCTTCTCCTTTAAAATAAGGCTAATGGTTTGATCTAGTGTACTGATTAAACATAACATATACAAAGTTCTCAGTATAACATAGCTCTTAATAGATTTGCATAAAGTACTTAGATTAGCTTCTATCATGCTCAAAATACACACATAGAGACGAGAAGGAGGGAAAATTATCCCCATTACATAAGTTCCCATGGCTTAATAGAATGGAAGAATGGAGAGGCAGAATTGAGAAAATTAAGAAGCATGAGGGACTCCAGCCTCTACAGAGTCACCTGTAAGGGGTCAAGGAATGGGGGGTGACACTGCTGTGACAAGAATCTCAGGAACATTCAAATCTACCTCACTTAACCTCGCATTTTGAGTAGACAAGCTATTCTGCTTCTTTCCCATTATCTTTTACCCTTAAAGTCAGTCTTGCAGGTAGGAGGCTAAGACAGAGCCTGAATATTTCCCTTGCCGAAGCTGCTTTCTGAAATTCCACCAAAGGAATGATCATCCATCCATCTATCCAGCCAGCCAGCCAGCCAGCCAACCAGTGATCCACCCATCTAACTGTCCATCGGTCTGTCCGTCTATCCATCCATCCATCCTACAACAATGAAGGTAGACTGAGAATTTGTAGACTTTTGCAATGAGACTGCTGGGTTTGATTCTTGGACCCATCACTTCCTAGCATGACATCAGGACAGGTGCTTCATCTCTCTGGTCTTATTTTTTCAAGTAATGTTGGAATCATAAGGGCTACTGTGAAGAGTTTAACTGTAAGGATTAAACCACTTGCATTGTGACAGGAACATGACAGGAGAATACAAAGAAACTCCTAACACTGCTTTAGAGGAGTTTGTGGTTACTGTTGTTTTCTGTTCACAAATATTTACTGAGCACTAAGAGCCAGGCCTGTGCTAGGCACTAGGGCTGCAGAAATGACCATAAGGTCCTTGTTTCTGAGAGTCTTTGTGGCTAAAGGAGGGAAGGAATGATTGAAAGCAGCTATCATTTGTCAATTTATTTTCTATTTACCCGTGCTTTTCATTGGTTATCTCTGATCCCTCAACAGGCCTAAGATGTGGCTATTAGATCCACTTTTACAATGAAAGAAACTGAAGGTTAATGAAATAGGTCATTTGTTCATGGTCACACAGCTAGAAAATTACCAAATCAAGTCTGATCCCTGCTCTCAGATCAAATCCTATCCTTTCTCCACCAACTATCCATTTTTATTGACTCAGACTAGGAGGTAAAAGCCTGAGAGATCTTACTCTAGAAAATCAGATCTAGTTGATGATGGAGTTCAACTCCTTAATATTATAGATGAAGAAGTGGAAATTTGGACAAGCTAAATTTATACAACATCATGCAGTATTAAGTGATAGAGCTAGAATATGGTTTCAAAATAAGCATGGGACTTTCACTACATAAGGCTGCTTCCAGAACAGAAAAACTCACCTTTTCTAGAGTCAGATAAAGCCAAGTTGGTTGGGAAGAAGTCCAGAGCACAGTTGGTGAGTGGGGAGTGGCTCATCACTGTGTCCTGGCCATCAACAGCCCAACAAGTAGGGCTAACAGATGGGAAGGTGATGGAGGTGATGGATTTGGCTCCTCTTAACCACTTCCTTTTTCAGACCCTACCAAAATCTTAAACATATCAACCTTAATATATCCAATCTTCCTGCAGAAAAGACCCCTTTTTGAGCTTCCTTCCAAAAATGATTTTACAACTTACATACTTATGAATATAATTCTCTATGGAGGCTGCAAAGGCAGGAACAACATTTTTTTGCCAAAATATGTAAGCAAATCTACAAAGTCATCTGATTCCTAGCAAAACAGCCCTCCATGGAGGCAGGATTGCTCAAGGGCCATTGAAGGCATTTTTAAAAATGTGTGTGCGAATAAGAGATGGATTCCTTCACCTCCAAATTTATTCTCCCTGTTGTATTCCTAAAATCACTTCATCTCTGTGGCCGAAATTCTACAAATGATGCCATCTTGTTTGAAATCTCAAGAGTCTGTAAAATACACCCCCATGTACAAACAGACTGGGAAAATTTAGAAGAGCTATGCTCACCTGAGTACGGTTTTGCCCACTCAAAGACAGAGGCTTTGAAGGAGTAGTGTGAGGGCGAATTTGGGAACCTGAGGCATAATATTAAAGGGCCAACATTGGTAGATTTTGAGATGGGAAAGGAGACCTGGGGGAGGGGAAGAAAAGGGATAGAGTGGGAACTGGGATGAAAATAGTAAAAATGTGTTATATGCATGTCTGAATATACCAGAGTGAGTCTCGTTATTCTGTATTACTAATATGCATCAGTAAAAAAAAATCCTGGACAGAAAAAAGGGGGCTTACATTGGCAAGGAAAAGATTACTGTAGTCTGGGGATACAGGAGATAAGGTTACAACAGAAACTGGGGAAGGGGAAAGGAGGGAGGAACCGAAGTTTCTAAGACCATTTTGAATAAAAATGAGTGAAATTTTATGAAAACCCTTATCTGTTAAGGTTATAACAAATCTTTCTGCCACATAGGGAGGGGACTGAAGAGCCCTTGTCCTGAAATCCGTTGGTTTGCCTTAAGCCATGCCAATTACTACTATTTGGAGGGAGAGAAGAAAAACATGGGTGTCTATCATCTGATCAGTATTTCAACAGAAGTAAATGAGGCCCAAAGATGGGCAGGGACTTCTTTAAAATCACAGGGTGGGAACAAAACAAGGACATCCTTGATCCTCCAAAATGCCATTTCCACTACATTGCAATGCTCCCCCATAACCTTCCTAAGCTTCATCTGGACTCAGGAATGGAGGGCAGAATTGAAGATGGAACATTCATTTGGGGAATCCCTTTATCTTCCACTCTTCCTCAGGGTCTCTCTTCAAGCCCAAGTTAGTAGCTTTCCATTGTCCAAGGGATAATAATAGCTACTCATTGTGCCAGGCACTACACTGAACTCTTTACAAATAACATATATAAGCCTCGGTGATTCTGAAAATGAGATTTGATCATTGCTACTCAAGGTGTGGTCTGGGGACCAGCAACCTCCAGGTCATCTAAGAACTTGTTATAATCTTTTTTTTTTTTTTTTTTTGGTACCAGGGATAGAACTTGGGACCTTGTGCTTGAGAGGCAGGCACTGGAACCACTGATCTAAATCCCCAGCCCAGAACTTGTTATAAATACATAATCCCAGGCCTAACTCTAGACCTACTGAGTCATAATATTCACTATAACAAGATTCCTGGGTGTATATGGGCACATTCACATTAAGGAAGAAATGGAAGGTGAGAAAACAACTATGAAAGAAATCAACAATGTTTCCAAGGCTACATACCTGCAAAATGGCAGAGCTGGTCACTGAGTTTGTTTGTTCACTACCAAAGTCCAAACTGCTAAGCTACTCTCTTTCATGGATGTCAGAATTTCCCTAGGGAACTGATTTCAAGTTATGAGTTCTGTTAAAATGGTTTTAGGACACCAAGTTATGCTGCCAAGACAAATACATCTAGCTGTTTCTCCCTCTGACTCAAAGAAGGACCAAGTTGGGCCACTGTGAGAGTGGAAGCCAATTGGAGAAAACTGGACAGCATTATTCCTGGATTTTCTCTAGGAAAAGTCTGAAACAGAATCCTAAGTATATCCCATTGCCATTGTCTTCCCTGTCCCGTCAGGAGAGTCAGAGTCATGGGAGCCTCCTGAGAACTTCCACAAAGGAGAGACTGCCGGCCTCATTTCTGGCCCCTACTCTCCACTACACCTGTCTCCCCACTCCCTCCTCCCTTCTTAATCTCTCCCTGTGAGTAATGTTCACCATGGCATGATGGAGATGTGTGGGAAAAGCTCACGATATAGCAATGAGAATCCAGTCAATGAAATGAAGCCCAAGAAAGGAGTTTTAAAGAAGTGGTTGAACCATCCCAAGATGTCACCTTTTTTTCTGTGTGGCCACAGGAAAGTAACCCCTTGCAGTTCCAGTCTATAACTTGGGACTGTTCTTAACTACTCTGAGGGTTTTGAGTAGCTACATGAGCAAAACTCCTAGCACTGTGACTGACACCTAGTAAGTGCTGCTGCTATTATCAGAATGGCCAGCAGTGAATCTGAGTGACTTTGGAGGCTTTCCATCACTTCTCTGAGCCTGTTTTCTCATCCATCACCCTCAGGGGATAATGACCAACATCACAAGATTGGTGCAAGGATCCACTCGGAAAGCGCTAGCACAGAGGAGCCAAACCCTGAATGAATGTTCCTTGTTTCAGAGTGAATGCCTCCCTCGACATCACGCTTGGGTGATCTGGTCACCACCTCCACTTGCTGACCCATCTCAACCCAAGCCTGGGAAACAGGGACAGAGTGATAAGAACAGACACCATGGCTCCACCAGTGCTGAAAGCTGTCACTTTATTGGCTGGGAAAGGGAGAAGCTGTGGTTAGCTCAGGAAAGAATTCAGGACCCAGAAAGAAAGGAGGGTGGCTGCAATGGAGCCAGATTCGAGGCCAGGCAGAACTTCCTTTCCCTGCTCCTCTGGCTGGTGATGGTTGGAGCTAGAGGGTGAAAATCACAATAATACCATCAACAACAACAGTTTTGTTTAAATCCAAGGCCAACTTACCCATGCCAGCATATCACACTCACACACACACACAACAAAGTGTCATTCCACTGGGGCTCTCCTTGCATTTTTCTTCAGGTTCTAGACTTATCTGTACTGCTTCAGACCATCTCCAGAACACATCCGGGTATATAGTGGTCCAGGATGACCTCTACAAAGCCTTCCTAAGGGTTCATAGGCGTGTATTTCTGGAGGAATCCCACTACCACCAGGAAGTTCCATGGTGCTTTCATTCCTTAGGTCAAGTTCAAATGAACTTGTCAAATGGATCTCATGTATTTCCATTCTATAAACAAAATAAATTGTGGTCCAGGGAGGTAAAAACTAGTTAAACGTCAGAGCTAAAACTTGAACCTGGGTCTTTTTGCCTGGAAATTCCACCTATGTAGCTGGCCTTCATGGAGCTAAGAGATAGTTGGCATCACAGGAGCGCTCTGGGTCCTAGGGAGACCGTGGCTTCCTTTCGGCCACTGAAGAGCACACTTTGAAGTAGCAAGCGAGGGGTCTTGGCCTTGGAGCTCTCTCTTTCTCTCTCTCTGAGATTCAGTTTTCTGGGCACTAACAGATTCCATCAGTGACCTTGAGGTTTCCTTTGCTGAAATCTGGTTAAAGGTAGTACATGACAACAATGATTTCAACCAAAGGCCACTTCCAAATCTGTGTTCCTTCTGATCTTTCTGCCTGAAACACTTTCCCACTCCACTTCACCAGACTACCTGCCTTTTACTCATTTTCACTTCTAGCTCAGAGTCACCCCTCTGGGAATCTTCCAACTGTTCCTTCTCCACCCTTCCCTCCTGTGATCGCTCTGCCTGTTTCCTACAACACTGGGTGCTGACAACAGGTACTGAGTGTCATCCGTCCATTCACTTCAGCTGAAGGACTGCAAGCTCTGGGGTGCAGCGGTGGCCACTTTTCTGTCCCTGTAACTGGCACAGCCAGGGGCTGAGTGCTGGATCACTCAACGGGCCCATTCACCATTTCCTTACTTTTTCCTCTTTACTGTTTTACACTTACTTTACAACTAAATATAGTTCCACTCTTAATGATATAAGGGGGCAGGGAGGCTCTCTATTCTTGTCTTTTCAGGGCCAAAGTTACTAGAAGTGGCTGAATTAATCTTAGCCCACTACAGAGTAAAGTGGTTAACATAATCCAAACACACACTTGATGAATCAAATTGAAGTTAAAAGGTCTCTTCCGCATTTGCCTCAAAAACTAAGCCTTTTTTGGTTAAAGTAAAGATCCACTCTTCTCCTGCCTCCCACTGGCCATGCAGAGAGCTTCCCACCTCCTGCCTCCAACCCTTTCAGCCCCTCAGCCACTGTTAGCTACCCCGGGACACGGCTGCTCCCTCCCTTCAGCTCCCGACTTACTGAAATGCCTTAAACAAAGGGAAAAACCATCTCCTTCTTGAACAGCCCAGTGATCAGCATTCACTGCCTCACCTGCTTTCACCACGTTCAAATCCAGCCACCTCTCTGCCCCTGACTCCATCCTGGTCCAGATCATCTCCCACAGGACCCCTGCCTCTGCCCCAGTGCCTCTACAGACCATCCAAACAGCAGCCAGAGGGGGCTTGGAAAATATCAGTCAGAATCCCTTGAATGAGTTGCCCTACGCTCTGCTTACCTCATGCCCTCTCTCTTTTTGTTACTCTCCCCTGCTTATGTACTTGTCTACAGCCTCTGGCTCTTCCTGAAGTACCCAGGGATGCTCCGGCCACCACACCTGCTGTTCCCTTTGCCTGTGACACTTTCCCTTGACAACGCCATGGCTCTTTCTCTCATTTTTAATTATAAACCTTGTTGGCAAGGACTTCACTTACCATCCCATTGTTACGGTTTAACTATGAAGTGTCTCCCTGAAGACTCATTCATGTATTGAAGGCTTGATCCCTAATGCAGTAGTGTTCAGAGGTGGGGCCTAAAGAGGTGATTAGATCATGAGGGTGCTGATATCATCAATGTGTTAACCCACTGGTGAGCTCATAGCTGAATGGACTACTAGGAGAAAGGCCCAGCTGGAGAAAATAGGTCACTGAGGGCAGTCTTTGAAAGGTATATGTGGTTCCCAGCTACATCCTCTCTGACTTTTCCTCTCTGCTTCCTGCCTGCCAATTAGGTAAGCAGCCTTCCTCCACCATGCCCTTCTGCCATGATGTTTCTGCCTTGCCAGATATCTAAAGGTAATGGTGTCAGCCAACCGTGGACTGAAACCTCTGAAATCGTGAGCCAAAATAAATCTTTCCTCCTTTAAATTGATTTGCTTAGGTATTTTGTCACAGGGACAAAAACTAACATGCCTCACGTAAAATTGCAACAATATTCCCTGTCTCCCCCTCCCTGGGTACTCCTTACCTCCCTTGTGTTTTTTTTTTCTCATGGCATTCATCTCCCTGTAACATACTACAAAACCTGCTTCCCGATTTTGTTTATTACCCATTGGACTATAAATATCATCAGAGAGACACTTTTTTTTGATCTGTTAGCTCATTGAGCATCCCCAGCATCAAGAGCTGTGAGTGGCACATGATAGATAGGTGCTCAATAAATAGCTGTTGAGAGAAGGAAAATAAACAAATGGGCAAACACACAAGCGCCAAGGTGTTTGCCCAGATCTTTATTTTCAACCCGCTGCAGGTCTCATCACTCGTGGGCATCAATGCACCTCCTTCCCCCACCTACCTCAGAATTTGGGTGTGATGCAGGACACCTTTCCACAACCATTGCGACAGCATTTCATCAGGCCACTACACTGGCTGTCCTCTTCACACAGGTTCTCGCAGATGCCGAGCTGGGGTAAGTCCACACTGGGGCAAGTACCCACCTTTTCTGGGTGGAAAAAGAAGTAAGATGGAGATCAAGGTGGAGGGAGATGGTCAAATCGTGACTCATGGTCCCCTGCTGCTCCTCAGCCTGGTTCAAAAACAGCACAGCTGCCAGTTTCAGTTGATCTCAGGGGCCTCTGCTGCTCCCATTTGTCCCTGAAGGGGACCTCCTCCTCCTGCTACTAGATGGCTTTGGAATCATCAGAGCTCAGTTTGAGAGTCCCCATTCTACAATTTTCTAACTCTGTAGCCTAGGAGCAGAAATCTTCCAGAGCACTGGAGTCTTTGGGTGTCACATGAAATCAGTGACATCTGTGGGGCAAATCATCGGCTTGTTACAAAAGCAATGGAGGCAAATATTGTTTCTTTCCTAAAGGGTAAGCTACTTTGTAATAATAATAATATTTATAATAGTGAATATTTAATTAGTTCTTGCTATATGTCAAGACACTTTCCCAAGCACCTGACATATAGTAGCTCATCTAATTTTCATAATAACCATAAAAGTGGGAAAGGGTATACTAATATTTCCTCAATTTTACAGAGGAAGAAACAAGCACTCAGGGGTTAAATAATTTGTGTAAGGTCATACAGGACTGCGGCAAGATTTGAACCACAGAAAATCTGGCCCTAGACCCTGCGTTAGGCACCATGCACTATGCTTCCTAAATTGTGAAGTGCAGTGGTCACATGAAGATCACACACTCGACACTCGCTTGATCCATTTCCACAGACTCACTCCCAGCCACAATCACTCAGCACCACGACCCTCCATACTCTGCAGAGGTGTGCCTTCCACCATGCTCTCCGTGGGGAGTGGTGATCTTCTGCAGTCCTCACATGAAACAGCTTCATTGTAGGGGACATTTCTAACCCCATTTAGATCATGGATGAGGAAAATGAGGCATAGAAAGGTGAAGGGGCAACCCCACGTGACCCTGCTCATCAGGAGGTTTGGTCTAAACAAGACTCGAGCCCGGCCTTCTACAGTCACACACACACATGCACATGCACACACACATATACATGCGTGCATGTGTGCACGCACACACACACACACACAAACGCAGAGCAGAGCAGCCTGCTTGAGCTGATTCCTGACTCAAGGAGTGGGGAGCAAGGCCTAGTAAAAGGTGAAACACAGGCACGGAAGTAGATGGTTGGTCGTAGAAGACCATGAGAGTCGTTGACAGAGTCCTGGCTTCCTAGTCCAAAGAAATCCATTCCCTTGAAAAGGGCAAGACCTTTCAATGCTGGGAAGAAAAAAAAACAAGAGAGAATAAGTGGGGAACAGTTTCCTAACAAAGCAAGCCACCACATACAGTGTCCACTCCCTAATGGGACACTTCCCGCCTGCCGTTTCCTTTAGCCTTCATGTCAATCCCATAGTTCAGGATTCTCACTCTCACTCTGCAGACGAGCAGAGGTTCAGAGAGATAATGCTGCTTATGCAGGACCACGCACTAGGATATGGCGGAGCTAAGACACAAACCTCCAGGTTCCCTCCCTGGGCCAAGAAGCCCCTTGCCTTGTCCCCCTCTCCCTTTTTTGCTTCGGTCTGTCTGTATGAGAAAAGGGAACAAGCTCTTCATCCACCGAACATCTCAGACCCTTTTGCCCTTCTCCCTCGCTCATCTTGCTTTCTCTTCCCACCTCTACCACCTCTCGTTCTGGCCCCTCTCTCAAGTACCTATCAGGGACCTCCACACACAGCAGCTGCCCCCACGGGCAAGTCCTCCTAAGCACGTCCGACCTCCCTGACCGTGGTGTCTGAGATCTCATAACTCCCAAACTTCCCAGTCTCTGCTGGCAGTTTGGAGGAAGATAACAAAGAGGGAGAGAAGCACAGGGGCTGTCTTGAGGATGCAAACCAATAATTACACACCTCGGTCCTTCCCAGGTCCTATCTCTGCCTCTCATCCCCAGGTTCTCCCTCTGGGAAGCCTGGATTCCATGCTAAGATGGAGAGACTTGAGCCCTAGCAAACATCCCAGCTCTCTCTCCCTTGGTCCTTAGGGGAAGATACTGTTTTAAAAATAAGGAAGGAGGATAAGGTGCTCAGGTGAGGTCCTGATTTTCTTCAAACTACTCAGCCAGCAAATGGCAAAGGCAAAAACTGAACCTCTGCCAGCCACGGGATGGCAATGAGACCTGGCACAAGAACAGTTTCTCTGTTACCCACTTCCACAGATACCAGATAAGGGTGTCATCCTAATCTGTAAGGTCCTCTTCTGACCAAGTAGGAACCTGAGCCAGGCAGCCTGTAGCCGGCCCGGGAAGGAAACTGGGGCCCCAGGTCCCCATACTGCCGGAACAATGTCCTGCTGTGCGTGCCCGGAAGCCCGTCATGCACCAGAGAGTCGAATCCGGCCAGGGGTAAGGGGACCGCCCTGGTCCTCGGCTGCGCCTCAGTGACGCCTTTGTCTCCCCCCGGGGCCACGGGAGGGAGGGCACGGGCGGATCTGGTTTCCTCCGCCTGGACCTCCGCGGGATCCCGGGTCTGGGTGGCCCTCCTTCCGGGAACCCCGGGGCCCCGCCCTGCCCCCGCCGGGTCGCCGCTCGGTTACCGTTGGGCAGGGAGCAGACGGTGCTGCAGCCGCCCTGGCAGCACTTGAGGTTCTCCGGGCAGTCGCCGTCGGACAGGCACCCTTTCTTCTCTGTGCAGTTCAGGTCCACCTGGAGCCGTGGGCACACGCCCGGTTTCTCTGGTCTCATGTCTCGGGGCAGGAGGGACGGTGTCAGCAGGAGCAGGCAGAGGATGCCCACCTCCTGCTCCAAGGGTCCCACATCTCAAAGCCAAGGAATTTCACTCTCGGGCCTTAGGGGCCCCCTCAAAGCCCCAAGGGCCCCACTTCCAGGCCCAGGGTCTGAGCACAGAAGAGTTCAGGAGGTCCCCAATGTTCGGTCTCAGAGCCCTCAAATCTGCCTTTAGCGGCCCGCGAGGCTGAGCGCCTCAGCGCTTCGACGCTCCTGAGAGGCTCCGGGCTCCATTCCAGTCAGTTTCCACCTTCTGCCCAGAAGCTACGCGCCTGCAAATTTCAGCTCTCCGCGGTAGCTCCACCTCCAGTACACTGGACCCCACATCCTGCACTCCAAGGGTAACTAGATTTATGCATGCCTCAAGGGTCCCTGGATTTTAGTTTTCATGGGTCTTGCCACTTGCGCCTCAGGAATTCTCACTTCCCCACCCCCCAGAAAGCCACACCTCTGCCTGGCTGTGTGGCCTCTCCTCGCCCTGCTCACCTGTGGCCCGGAGGAGGCCAGGCAGCAGCAGCCCAAGGAGGAGGGCTGCGGCCAGCGAGCAGAGGCGACCGGCAGTCATGGTGCTGCGCCTGGTGGGGAGCAGGTGCGAGCTCAGCACCATGGGGGGATTTAACCACTGGCTCAGGGGCGTGGGGTCGGGGCGGGGCCGAGGAACTGGGTGTAGGAGGGGGTAGAGAGCAAGCGGGAGAGCTGCCACCTCACGCCATTTCACAATCCCCGGGGATCAGGTGTCGCTCTTGGCCCCGCTGGGAACCAGGAACCCAAGCAGCTTCCAGGCCTGGTGCAGCTCGACCAGCTGCAGCCGGATCCTAGCCTACTGCTTCCTCTTTTCCTCCCTCCTGGGTCCTAAGGGCAGGGCAGAGCAGGGCAGGGCAGAGCAGGGCAGAGCAGCAGGCTCTAGGCCCCAAGATCGAGAGTCCGAGTCCGCTTTCAAACCCTTGGGTGCTCCCTGGAATGCCCGAGGTCAGGGTTGAGGAGGAAAGGGCAGGGGGCCACAAGGACCCTGGAGACTAAGTGGTTGGACTTGGGGGTCAGTTGGATCAGAGTGCAGATCCCGTGTAGGGGTTAGTGGTGAAGGGCTGGAGTGGTCAGAGCATATAGTAGAGGCCACAGTGATATTAATAAATGAGCCAATTTGACAAGGAACAGGCCCACGAAGGTGAACCACCTGTTGTCTGGGTGTGTGTCTCTTTGTCTCTTCATACCACACTCTTATTGGGGCTGAGTGGGTGCCATGCACTGTGATCCTTGTCCCAGGATGTATAATGCCTAGAACTAAGCAGTATTGGCATCAACTGTATATGACAAGCACACTGGATGTTCAGAGGTTTAAGACCCTCACCCCAAGGTCCCAGGTAAAGCTGTACAGACAAGGCTTTGAACCCAGCTCTCTCCCTTTGTTTTTTACCATCCCATTGCAGATATTTGCTGGGTGCCTTCTATGTGATAAAGGGCAAGAGAAAGTAAGAGTATAGAAAAAGAAAGTATAGAGAAAGTAAGCAAAATGAGCCCTCCAGCTCTGTTCTAGATTTAAGGTTGACTCTCACCTTCACCACTTTCCACTGGAGGGACTTAGAATGATCACTTCCCTGTTCTGAACAACCGTAAGTCATCTATAAAAACGATGATCAAATAAGACTTCAGTGAGAACATGAAGGTAAATTTCCTGCCACGAAGTGACTATGGTGGGCAGGGTCACACGCATTGACACAGGAACCCGAAACCCAGCACATTACAGTATCACATAAATTATAGTATCACATAAATGGTGTGAATGCCCAATAAATAAATGTTGAGAGTCTACCATTACTAAGGAGACTGATAAGTACAACTGGCCCTCCATACCCATGGGTTCCATGTTCTTTGATTCAACCAAATGGAAAATATTTGGGGAAAAAATCACATCGGTGTTGAGCATGTATAGACTTTTATTTCTTATCATTCTTCCCTAAACAATACACAGTCCATGACTATTTACAGGGCATTTGCATTGTAGTAGGTTATTATAAATAATCTATACATGATGCATAAGTGCAAGAGAGGTGGTGGGAAACCTTTGGCACGCATGTTATTTGTTTTTTATTTCAAAGCAAAAGATGTTAATGTATGAGGTTTTTTTCTAAACTAAAACCTCTATTCAGGTTTAATTGCAGAGCTGGCACTTTGCAATAAATGAGTGAGTTTTGGATAGCAGTTTGGGCACTCATCGCTAAAAGGTTCACCATCACTGGTACAGGGAAATGTGGGTAGCATCTGTGGATTTCAGTATCTATAGGGATCCTGGAACCCATTCCTTGCAGATGTTGAGGAGCGACTATATACACCAAGCTTTAGAATCCAGGCTGCTAAATGCCAAAACAGGTACCAAGGGTATCATACAAGGAATACCTCCAAATATTCTTTATGCTGAAGTGACCTGAGGTGCCATGAGCCTTAGGAGCTCTTTGTTGCTGGAGGCTAGAGGGTGGTTTGGACAGTGAAAATTAGAATGACAGGTGAGTGGAGTTTGGTGATGTGATACATCCAGTCACTATTCCCATGGTAGATGTTGCTAAAAGAGGCTGAGAATATCTCCCCCAACTTCCTGTGCCCAGCCCAGAGCCTGGAGAGACATGCCGTTGTTGGGCTGGGCTGGGGCTATTTACTCTGAGCTCAGAGAAAGTCAACAGCATTGAGGGCAAGAACCAGGTGGGGACACAAGCCTTGAGCAGGCTCCTGAAACCCAGCGCACATAGAGGACACTTGGTGAGCAGCTGGTTTTACCCTGCAGACCGGCTGGCTACAGGACATTCAGCCCTGGCCACTGATACCCCAGCTTTCTTTCAGGATTTATGGAGCTTGCTTGGCCAAGAAACTGCCCAGACTTACCCCTCCCAGCCCCTCATGTGCTCTCTGGCTGATTGCTCTCCCTTTCTGGGATGTGGCCTAGTATGAAGCTCAGAAGTGGGGTGGGGTAGAGTAGAAGGATGGAGAAAGTTTCATAAGTCAGCGGCATCAGATGTTTAGCTTTTGTAGTCCTAGGTTCTGTGCTAGGTACAATCTCATGAGACAATGCAGGCAATCCAAATGAACACATAGGACCACAGGTGTGGAGGTATTGGCCAGGGATATGGTGAGAAGATTATGCAGAGGTATGCTCTGACCCTTGTCCTCCAATTTATTACTTAGAATGGTCCTAAGGTCAGTCATGTAACAGGCCACTCTGTCCTTCCCCTTTTCTCTGCATGAATTCCTGCACATACATTGTCTTTCCTATATCCTTTATCCTTGCTTCCTGGTTCTATCAATAAAAAGCCACGGGCCTTCAGTGTGAGGCTGTCTTTTATGACGCTTTCTCAGGCTTAGGGGTCTTGGTTAAGGGCAGCCCCTCTGGGCCCTCTTGGAGTTTGGATTAGACATAGGCTCATCCTTTTGTGCTGTCCCATGGTCATGAACTGTGACAAGTGGTGGCCAGTGTGAGGAATGTGTGAGAAGGTGATGCAACTCAGTGCAAGAAGACCTGTCGTGGGCTGGGGCTGAGCGTCCCTGAGGCTGAAATAAGGAATTTAACCTACCCTTCTAAAATAAGCATGTAGCTCTGCTGACTCCTGTTGTGGAAAAAGAATTTTCAGAATAGGTCAATGAAAAAGAGGCATAAGAAAGATTTATTAGAAGTAAATATAGGACACATTCCAAAGTGGAGTGGGGGTGCTCAAGGAAATGAGGCACAAGTTATAAGCCAGGGTAGGGCACACATTTAAAGGCTGTTATCAATATGGGTGATCTCGGATGTGTACTCTGTCGGCCAAGTTACAGTGTCAACCATCCACGTGGGTTTGAACTGAAGATACACATTAGATAGGCTGTTTCCACTGCAGCTGCCTTTTGGGCTGGAGGGAAGCTGAAGGAAAAGGTAGTTTGCAGGTGAAAAGCAAATGGGCAGACCCATGTGCAGCTGAAAGGGACTTGTCCAAGTTGGCTGTTTGGGGAGTAAATAAAGCAGGCTTGTGATTTGTTTGTTTTTTGTTTTTGTGGTACCGGGGACAGACTTATGATTTGAAGCCGTAGTTTTTATGAGTACAATTAAAAATTCTCCTGGTCTCCTTTTTACCTAATTTCATTTCTTCTGTCCTACCTCAGACCTTCCTCCCAAAGCCTGGAAAAGAAACAAGGATGCCCAATTTCACATCCCTATAAGGTAAGGGGACAAAAGTGGCCATGGAACAGCCTGGCATGTCTGGGAGAGGTCGCAGGTTAGGCTTATCAGCCCAGAGGTCTTTTAGCTGTCCAATTGCTAAGGGAGCAGGGGCAGCATGTTTGTTCTTCTTTTTGCTCTTTTACTTTCATTCATATGGTGTGGATCAAACTTTGTCCAAAGAGGAAAAGCAATTTAAGCAACACTTACAGTGTCTCTTAAAGACATCTGGATGTAAAGTTTCTGAACCTCAGTTTATTAAATTATTAATAGTTATTCAACCACAATGTCCATGGTTTCCTCTGAAGGACAGCCTGGAGGTAGAGGGCTGGGAACATGTGGGCAGAAAAGTGAGACAGTCATTAGGTCCTGTAAAGGCTGAGCACCTTGCTGCCTGGCATCTTTGCAGGGTCACTATTTGCTCTACTCAAACCAAAGAAGTTCCCCGGAAAATGGTCCCTCGTTCTCCCTCAGCTTCCTCTGAAGATCCCCTTCTAGCCCCAACCTCTGGGGAATGGAGAGAGGTGGCCAGAGAGGGGGCTCTGAAATTATGATACTATATGCCAATTGGACTTGTCTTATAAAATAAATAAATAAATAATAATAGAAAAACAAAAGGAAAAGACAAAAAAAGAGAGAAAGCTAACGACAACAAAAGTCAAGCCAGCAGTTACACTAAACTAGGACAATTTTATCAGACAAGAGTAACTCCCATCAATACTTCTACAAATGATCAAGCACACATATATATGAGCCCCAAACTGTAAAGCTTAAAGGAGTGACTCCTATCTGTCCTATAATTTTCTCTCTCTTATTCTCTCTCCAAAAAATTTAAAAATGATCATTCAAGATTTTTGCTTGTTGGTTTTCTGCTTGGCAGTGCGGTTGGAGTTAATCTTAACTTTTGTCTTTGGAGGCATGCTTTGCTAAAGAGTGGAGATCCGCCATCAAAAGGCTTTTGGTCTTGGATTGTCTTTCTGCCCTTGAAATGGTTGGGATTTGTTTCTCGTGCTCCAGGGAGTTTCTCTTCTCTGAGGCTGCTGCATTCCAGGACCGAGTTTCCCCTCCCTCTGACCCTTCCAGAGTGAAGCTGACCTTCACTTATCTCTGCATCATATTCTTAAAAAACTGGTCTGCATTTGACCCTTGGACTCTTGAAGAACAAAGTAATTGTTTTAATCCAAATTTATGAGCCTTTCTATCCTTAGGCAGAACTGGAAATTAACCCCTTTCATTTCCCTCTCCCTTCAAGAATGCTGCTCCACAGGGCAAACTAACTGGTTTTTACAGCACAGATATATTCAATCATAAAACAAATAATATTCCTAGAGATCCTTATCAATTTACTAGTAGTTTTAAGACTCTCAGTATTACCTTGCCTACACATTCCATATGGCTCACTTCATGTGTCAATAATAATAATATTTCTCAATTGAATACTATATTACTTGTATTATGGTGCTTAGATGAAGGGCTAAAGCCTGGCTCCCCAGAAATCTCACACAATTGGATGGAACATTCTGCTTTTGAACAAATCACCTTAGCACTTGGGCATGTCAGACAAAAAACAGTTTCTGGGCTTTTTGATCGTTGCTATTATTTTAGCTACTGCATTGGCCGTCACAGCTGTGACTGCAGCCGTTGCTTTTATTGTTTGTTAAGTTGCCCCTATTCCCCACAAAGAAGAACAGTTGAGGGTTGAGATTTGTGATCAGGAAGATCTGGTTTGTGTCTCAACTCTTCGGCTTCCTATCTTTGGGACAGTTGGCAAGTTATTGTACCTCCCGGAGCCTCAGTTTCTTTGTTTATAACATGAAAATAATACTTCTAGCCTCAAAAGGTCAATGTAAATTAAGAGAAATTTTGCAAAGCAATCAAGACAGTGCCTAGAACTTGATCAATAGCTACTGTATTTTCAAAGTGCTCCGTGAAGGCCCTGGGCTCTCTCTCTGGCCTGCTTCATCCCACTGTCTCTAGTGCTGTTACTTACCTGCATGTTCAGATAACCTCAGACCTCACATCCCGTCAGTTCATGATGCCTGAAAACATTTTTTCTTTGTCTTACAAAGGCAGCTATGGTGGTTTCTCTCCCTAGTCTCCACGGGGAGAAAGGCTGTAACTCTCAGTCAGATGCCTACATATTTACCCAATAGCTATATTGGTTTTACTATGTCCCCAAAAGATCATATGCTGGAACCTTAATTTCCAATGCATTGGTATTGAGAGGAAGTGGAGATTTTAGAAGGCAATTAGGTCATTAAGAAGGAGTAATTCCTTTCTTTTGGAGTGAGTGTAGAACTGGGTTAACTGCCAAGGGAATGGGTTGTTATAAAGCAACTGCCTCCTGTGTTTCCCTCTTTCCCATCCACCAGATTCCCTTCCATTTTCCTACCATAAGTTAAAGCAGCATGTGGTCCTTAACAGACACAGGTGCTTGGTTTTGGATTTTTCTAGCTTTTAGATCTGTGAGCCAAAATGAACTTCTCTTTGTAAAATTACCACATTTTAGGTATTCTTCTTTAGAAACAGAAAACAGACCAAGGCCCTCACTAAAAAAAGAAAACTTAGGGCCAGGGATATAGCTCAGTGGTTCTGCCGCTTGCCTCGCAAGCCCAAGGTCCTGAGTTTGATCCCCAGTACCAAAAAAAAAAAAAAAAAGGAAGAAAGAAAAAAGAAAAGAAAGCTTAATTTTGTACAGGCAACAAATACCCGATTTAAAATGCAGCATCTACAAGCCTCCCTCAGTTAAGATTGGTCATAAGACGCAGCTCTAACACATGAAATATAGGCTGAGGTTCCTGATAAGGACCTCTGTGTCCAAGGAAAAAGATAAAAACTCAACAAAAGAAACTTCTGGGCTCTCCTTTCTTTTTAATGAAAATGGAGACATGATGCCTAGAGGAATACCAGCCACCTTGTGAACATGAGGTGACCAGCATAAGCACAAAGTTCTTTGAGTTGGAAATCTGGGAACCCCCTAGGGATATCAGTGAGAAGTACATCAGATATGGACTACTGACTATCCAGACTGCTTCTTGCATAAGACAATGAGAATTTTTAATTATCTAATCTACAGTCAACCTTGTCATTGTCCACAGACAAACATTTTACTAACTCCTACAGAGACTACATTAGTTTCCTGGGGCTCCTGTGACAAAATACCACAAATTGTGTGGCTTAAACAACAGAGATTTATTCTGTCACAGTTCTGGGTATTGGAAGTCCAAGAATGAAGTGTTGATGGATGGTTCCTTCTGAAGATTGTGAGGAAGAATCTGTTTCTTTTCCTGCTTCCTCAGCTGCTAGAGGTTTGCTGGAAACCCTTGGTGCTCCTTGATCTGTAGAAGCCCCACCCCAACATCAGCTGCATCTTCACCGGCATTCTCTCTGGATGCATGTCTATCTCTAAATTTCATCTTTTTTGTAGGGACATAAGTCATTGCAGTAGGGCCCACCCCGTGACTTCATTTTAACTTGATTACCTCTGTAAAGATGTTATCTTCAAACAGAGTCACATTCTGAGCTACAGGAATTCAACACACATATTTGAAGGACACCTGATTCAACCCATAACAGAGTCCCTTGCTCTGTGCACTCAGCTTGAAGTGACTCCACAAGTGCTTGTGCGGATCCAGTTCAGGGCTGGTTCAACAACTGATTTCCTCTTCTGGTAGCAGCCTTGAGTCTTTCTGATGCATTAAGGAGAAGGTGTGCCCCGAGGGCCAATCCTGCTCACCATTTCTTGACCAGCACATAGCCCTTGCCTCTGGCTTTCTGCCTCTTGCTAAATGACTTACTCAACAGTATTACTCATCTTACTGTCAGCAGCTAAATTTATGAGTCTGTTTTCCCCAAAGGCTTGTGGTCTCCTTGAGAATAAGGACAGGGTTGAATTGCAGTAGCTGCCTTAATTCTCAATGCCAAGTCTCTCAAATCCAACTGCCTCAAATCCAACTGCCTCAAATACTGAAGTTTGACTGATACGGTCCTTAGTAGCAGCCTGCAAGTCTCTACCCAGCATTTATAGGTATCTATTGTGTAACTGTATGCTATCAAACACAGCACCACCCTCTAAGAGTTGTCTTTCACAGAGACAAGTAAACACAATGACAATGAAGTCCTTGCATTTTACAGAGGAGAAGGGGTAGAAGGCATAGAACCTGGTACAGGCACACCTCGTTTAGTGACAGACAACTAGGTCATTAAATGAATTGGTCACTGAATGAGTAATTGTATATAGTGTGTACATTACAATATTCAGAACAAAGAAGTGGTCAGGGAAACTCCAACTTGACAACTTTGCTTTTATTTGCTTAACTCTTATACGCAGTAAAATGTATATATGATGCATTACTGTATTATACAGTAAGACTGTAATGTATAACAGGACATAAAACAGTACTTAACTGTACAGCACAATCAGCAAAAACTACAGTACTATACTGTAGATGCCACTATAAGGCTCCACTGCCACTCGTGTTCTTGCATTGTAAGTCTGAATGCAGGAAGATGTCAGGCCTGGCCTAAACTAACAGGACAAAGCAAACAGGCTGCTTTTAGCAAACAACAGCAGCTTCTCAGGAAATAGGGCAAATGGACTCAAAAGAAAATATACAACCCCCCTGGTGCCTAGAAGTCCAGTAATTGTGTACACACCTGAGCAGACGGTCCCTGGGCATCCAAGTCATAAATATTTCACCCCAGATTCCTTAGCCCTTTCCATATCTATATAAGCCTAATTCCTTTCCCGGCTAGTTGCTAATATCTCCCTCTCCCAGTATCAGCCCATCCACACATGGATGTGATAAACTTAGCTTTTCCCAGCTAGCTGCTAGAATCTCCTGATTTTAGTCCCTGTTAACTGGAATAACCCTTCCTTTCAAAAGCCTATTTTTGATAAAGGATTCTTTATAACAGTAGTAAGTCTGAGCTGCGAGTTGCTAGTCTGAAAAGTGCACCTCAGTCATAAGTTGGAACAGTCATTAAACAAGTAGGTTGTTAAATGAGGAAGACCTGTATTCAACCAGGGAAAATTAGGCACAGCGTTCCACAGGTGCTGATTCCGGCTGGGTCCCAAAGAACAAGGAGCTTGAAGAGGAGAAAGTACCGAGTGGGAGGAGAGTATAAACAAAGACCTGGGGAGGATTTTAAGCACGTTGAAGTGGTTTTATGCGATCAGGAAGGAGTTAGGAAAGAAGAGATGAAGCCAGAGGGGTGGAAGAGAAGCAAGGGCAGGTGATGCAGAGGCTTGCTTGGGGTGGATCCCTCTGGCTGGTGATTTAAAAACGGTAGGTGTTATAGTTTGGGTTTAGACATCCCCCCAAAGCCTCGTGGTTATAGGAGGGACTTTTTCAGAGGTGGCTGAATCTAGAGTGTGTGATGCTGGGATTAAGGATGGGTGGTTACTAAATCAGTCCACTGATTGGTTTGGCCCGGCTCTAATCCTGGCAGCCTGGGGATACAATATAAGGGACAGAAAGAGGCTTGTCTTGTCCCTTGCTTGCTTTGCTGTCTTCTGCCTGCCATGAAGTGGTTCTCCTCTGCGGTGCCTGTCTGCCAAGCCACCCTGCCTTGAAGCCAGCCGATTATAGACTGAAACCTCTACAAACTGTGAGCTAAGTAAACCTTTCCTCCCTTAACTTGTGGGTGTTGGATATTTACTTTCAGGAATGAGAAAGTAACTAACACAGTAAGGAACCATTGAAATGAGGGGTCAGGAACTGTGAGGGGGCCTGGGCTGAAGCAGTGGTCATGGGGTGGAGATAAATGGCTGAATTTGAAGAGCAGATGAAACTTTTCTTTCTGTTTTTTGAGACAAGGTCTTGCTATGTAGTTCAGGCTGGCCTTGAACTCCCCGTGTAGCCCAGGCTGCCTTTGAACTCATGGCAATCCTCCTGCCTCAGCCTCCTGAGTGCTGGGATAACTGCTGTGCATCACCATGCCTGGCTGAAACTGTTCTACCCTTGTTTGTCTTCATTCTGTTGATTCTCAAAACCACGCCTAGAATGCATTGTACCTGCTGCCATATCTCAGGTAATGACCGTTTGTTATTGGACAAGTGATAAACACCAGGTCTCTGATAAAGGAGACCCCAGTATATTCTAAGGCCTGGGACTGAACTAAAACAGAACCGAATGCATTTTACTTAAGTGATCCAGGAAAGGAGGGCAGTGGATTGGGGATCCATCTGGCAAACCTGTATTGATTCCCACAGAGGGCCAGGCATTGGGGCCACAGTAATGATTAAGACAGCCTCTCACCTTGAGGCCTGGAGGCTCAGTGGTCCAGAGAAGCAAGAGAATAGGCCGTTGTGGTAAGAGATTGGTTTTTTTAAAAGTACTGCAGGAATCCAGCAGGAGGTGGAATTATTTCCTCTGCCTAGGGGTACTGCATGCAGAGGAAGCAACCTCTGAATCATGTAGGAACATGTGGAAATAGGTGGGGACATCTGGGGAGGGCACTCTCCATCCGGTTTAGAAAGAGAGAAGGAAAGGTCGTGCAAATATTTTCCCAATGTGAGAAGTCCTGGGTCTGAAGCGAATGTGGATTCACTCATGCAAACAACCAGAAAGAGCCAGCCCCAAGCTACATTGTTATTATTTTATGAAACAGAAGACCACAAAATAATATTCATAAGCTACGTTGAAAATGTAAGGACTAACAATAGCGCGAGCCCTTGTGAAATCCGTGTGGGTGCTGGGTGCATGAGTGTTTGTGGCAGGGACATTTATAGAACCCTTGGAGCTTTCTTGTGCCTCTCAAGCTAGTTCTCTTTCCTTCCTCCTCAGACAGAGCCAACAATTTGAATTTTATGCTTATCGGTTCCTTGCTTTGCTTAATAGTTTAACCACATGTATATTTATCCCCAAACAATATTTATCAGACTTACTTCCCATTCTTAGTTTTCTATACTTTGTTGGATACTTCCAAATCTTAAGTATTTGCGGGCTTCATTCCACTCTCTGCCATTTCTGCCGACTCTCACTGATCATGCCTTGCTTCCCTTTTATTTTAGAAATTTTAACTGTGAACTCAGGCTCTTAGAGCTTTTTCTGTGGAAATGCTTTGAGACCTAAGGGTAGATTCCTCCAGAGAGACTGTTTCTGCCTCATTTCTGGTGACCCCGCTAACCCAGGACCTCTTTAAGCCAAATTTGCAAATTGAGGTTTTTCAGATCACACATATAGTGTGCTCTGGTGTTCAAAACCCCCAGGTGAACCAGCTCAAGATAAAGGAGAAGATGCAATGGTGCTTGCTTATAATCTACTCAGGAGGCTGAGACAGGAGGATCACAAGTTTGAGCCCCATCTAGGCAACTTAGCGAGACCCAGTTTCAAACTTTAAAAATAAAAATAAAAAAGGGCTGGGGATGCGGCTTACTGGTAAGAGTGCTTGCCTAGTATGCTCAATGCTCAATCCCCAGTACTGGAAAAAAAAGGCATGCACCCTCAACTCCCAGATGCTGAGTCTCTGCCCTATGTGCCTGGAAGGTCCAGCCAGCTAGGAAACTCATCCTTAGCCCAAGAGCAAGGTGTTCGGCCATACGCCTGGGACCTTGAGCTACTCTTCTCTGAAGCCCAAAAGTTGAGTGAGCAAACCCTCAGAGGATCCTGCACCTATGCTTGTTGCTGAGGATCCTCAGCAAGTTGCTGTAGCACCCTGATTGCCTGATTTTCCTCTGTGGCACAGATGTGTGGAGGAGTGCAGGGAGAGTGCAGCTGTGGCCGGTGCTGACTGGGTAGTCTCTTGCTGTAAGTTATTTTCCTGGCAGGATGGGGTGGAATGCAAGAGCTCTTTTAATTACCATGTGTCGGGCACTTGCCTAAGAAGCTTACAAACAAGCACGCATTTAACCTCAGACCTCTTTACAGGTAAAGAAACCAAGGAGACAGAAGGCAGCTTGCTGAGTGTCACAGCCAGTGCCAGGAATTGCACTCTGCTTCCTCCAGCACCAAAGCTTGCACTCTTGGCTCCTCCTTACTCACCGCCCTGAGAAGGAAGAGCAGTGCAGGAATTCCCCATCTCCCCTTGCCAAATGCTTCTCATTTTAGAAGAAAGCAACACATGACGTCATCTCAACAAGTGAAGGTAAAGTCCAGGAAAGCAAAGCTGGATTCCAGCACTGACTAGGGACTCCGGGGCTGCTCAGCACCATGGCAGAACAATACTGGGAGGAAGGTCACATAAAAGTGATGGAGGCAGATGGAAAAGAAGCTGCCTTCATCACCCATGGTGGTAAGACCTAAGTGTGAAAAATCAAGTACTAGCAATCAAAGTACATTAGTTACACACCCGGAGGAAAATACCAAAAGTATTGGTCGAAAGAGCTGAGGAGGAATTGAAGGAAACGGAAGAAGGCAAGAGGACTACTCTTTCTTACATCAAATCTTCTAAAGCTATTTGACTCTTTATAAAGAGTGTAAATGTGTATGTAGCTTTCGTTAAAAAAAAAAAATTAAAAAACAACCAACTGAATACTTATTTGAGAACTATTCCAGCATGAGGTTATGTGTTCTATGGGTGACAACAACAAAAATAGTTTTCAATGTAACAGTTAAGTAAAATATGAAAAAATTCTCAGAAATTGGCAAATAATTCCAAGTAAAATTTGATAATGAGATAAATAAAAAGATAATTAGAAAATGGAGTGACAAAAGGACAGTAAATTTCTTTAAAAATCTGTGTTTTAAAGTAGTTTAAAAAAAAAGTACACCTTCCTCATTTCCTCCCAGACACGCCTTTCCCAGATTTATCTAGTCTCATCCTCCTTGCATTTCTGAGTAGTGGGCAGAGCAGTTTTTATCATCCCCACGTCACAGAGGGGAAAATAAGGTCCAAACCCAATGGGTAGCATAGCAGGGGCACCATGTCATTGCGCATACAGGAAGAATTATGGTGAGTGCTTCACAAATGTGTCTGAGGAGCAAAACTGTAAAAAAGATTGTTATGACAGTGTTTATTTATCAGCATCATTACATGGTGATGACATGGGTACAAAAAGGGACACTCAAATTATCACAACTGGCACCACCCTGAGGTAGAATGGAAGAAATAAAGACAGGTAGAAAATGAAAATCAGCATAGAGGTAACATCTCCTGGACATGTCATTTTCTTATGCACACAAGAATTACTCCTGGGGTTCAGGGTAGTATGATGATTGTGATATTTATAGACATTTTTCTTAGAGGATACTGGTTCTTTTGTATTTCTTAGAGGTTCCTTTTTCTTTTTAGATGGTCAGTATTCTTTCAGGGGTCTTGGTCATGTAAGAAACTTGAAGTTTACAAAAGGAAAAGTTCTAATCTAAATTGGGACTCAGCTCAAAGTGGGAGAGCCTTTAAAGAATATTTCTTTTCCTGATATCATTGGACGATAGGCTATGATGACCAGCAATACTGTATGCTTTTTTATAGAAATAGAGGCCCTGTGTCTTTGGATCTGAGACCTAATAAATGATTATAAGTGCATTGTACACAGAGGCCTTTGTTTCTTCATTTAACTATAACTGCCAGAGCATTTTGTTTTTAACCCCTTTTGGGTTTTTTGGGGATTTTTTGGTACCGGGGATCGAACTTGGGTCCTTGTGCTTGCGAGGGGAGGAGGCAGAACCACTGAACTAAATCCTTGGCTTTAACCTTTTTTGTACCTCAGGCTTGCTAATATCTAGCTATCGGTCTAACAACATTTTCCATCTTGGTGAAAAATCTCAGATTGCTCCAAGGCCCGGGCTTTAATTCCTAGCAGTGCACACACACGCACTACCCACACAATCTCAGAATCGCTATCCATTGTAGACTCTTTCCGGATCAGCTGCTCTCAGGCTCCAAGCCTTTCAGAGGGTTCTCACTTCGTGTGGAATTTCAATCTAAATGCCTTGCGTGGTATCTCAGTTACTTTTCTCGTTGCTGAGACAATATACCCAGCATCCAAAGGTAAAGGAGGAAAGGTTATTTAGGCCACAGTTTGTAGAGGTTTCAGTCCATAATTGGTTGGCTCCAAGGAAGGGGAGCATTAAAGACAGGAATCAAAGAGGAGAAACAGTTCATGACAGGCAGGAGGTAGCAAAGCAAGCAAGTAATGACAACAGCGTTTTTTAATCCCTTGTATCTCATCCAGGCTACTTAGGGCTGGTAGCACTCACACTCTTCTTAATGCTAGTGCCCTTGAGCCTAGCATTGCACCATGAATAATCCCAGCACCACACACCCTAAATCCAGCCACTTCTGAAAAAGCCCCACTTGAGACTACATGAGGCTTTGCAGGGACATCTAGACACAAACCATAACACATGGCCAGTGATCTAGCTTCCATCCTGTCCTCTCCTACCATTCAGCAAAAGGGACTTCTGGAGCCCTTGCATTCATTCTGCCTTTAGCACCCCCACAAATACTCATCTGGCTCCTTCCCTCTATTCAGCGATGCCCTGCCTGAGCCAGCCTCCTCTTTACCCTGTGCACTAAGCTATTTCCTTCACAGCAGTTATCATTCTCTGAAATGTATCTTGCTCGTTTACTGTTTACCTATGTATTTCCTCCAGCTAGAATGTCAGCTCCAGGAGTGTGGGGAGCTGGGGACTGTGTTCACACTTGTGATCCAGTAACTTGAACTGTGCCCAGCACACACACCAGGTGCTCAGTTATAGCACAGCTATAGATGCCCCTGCTGCCCCCTGTAGGCACTATTCTAAAGTCTTACAGGTACTGCATTCACCACCTGGGCCCACAATAACAACCAAAAAAGTGACTGTTATGGTATTATCCTGACTTCCATTTTAGAGGTAAAAGTCACAGAGAAGTGACTTGCCCATGCAGGCAGTAAGTGGGCAGAGCCAAGCTTCAGTCCCCAGAGTCTGGTCTGTGGTTTCCATTACCACATGCATTCTCCCTAATAAACATTCGCTGAGCATGTGAGGGGATGAATTGATATCTACCCAAACCCTTTGTTTGGCATCACACACTCAATATGGACGGAACTGAACGCACTGTGCTTCCAGCAAAGACTTCCTCTTTAATTCTCCCAGTCACATAGACCAGAATGCTATTGTCCTTCACACTTTCCTCACCCTCCACGAGCGCCTCTCCACAAAACCTGTGGTTTCTAGCTCCTCACCATCTCCTCTCCTCTCCACTCCTCTCTGCTGATTTAAGGATGGTATCTCCTCCCATCTAGAAAAGTGTCATGGCCAACACTACATCAGACCCCACCTCTCCTCTCCATCCCCCACCAAAACATTCTCCTAAGATGAACAGGTGCTACCTCGAGCCTCCTGATAAAGCCCCAGGTTCTTAGCTGGTCCCTCAAGGCTCCATGAGTCTGATCCCCACTTCTACATGCTGCATCATTGTGTTCCACCTTCCCACTCATTCCCATGTGGCTTCTCTTCTCAAGCTATCCCTTTCACTTTCCCATCTACTTACAGTGTCCTCCACCCACCTTCCTCTGAGTAAAACTTACTCTTGTGTCTCAGCTGAAACTTCCCTTCCTGAGGGAAGCCTTCCCACCCACCACCAGTGCCACCTCCACAGAAGTTTGGTCCCTATTAAACTCTTCCATCATACACTTGAGTGTCCCCTTTGCTGACAGTCAGCATGTTCATTATTAATCAGCTGCTCAATAGAAAGCATCTGCAAAAAAGTGTACTGTGTGAGTGCAGAAACTGTGTCTGTTATGTTTACTAATGCAGATACATATTTTGATTGATTGATTGATTGATGTAATACTGGGGGTTGAGCCTAGGGCATTTGTGCTGAACTGAAAACCCAGCCCTTTACAAATTTTTTATGTAGAGACAGGATCTCACTAGGCTTCTAAGCGGCACAGGCTTGGTGTGAACTTGTGATCCTTTCTGCCTCAGCCTCTCAGAGTGCTGGGATTTCAGGTATGCCTCACTGTGCTTGACTGAGTATGTATTTTATAGTAATTATTTTAATTTGTAATTTCTAAACACTTTAGAAATAAAAGGCTGAGGGATGGCGGGGGTGAAATTCCCAAAGTAACCACTAGGATGTCAGGAGGGGAAGGTGAAAGATGCTACCACAGGGGGCAAGCAGAGCACTTCTTAAAGATGTTTCACAGGGGTGAAGCACGGGTATCTTTGATCCCTGATAGAATCACTTCTCCACCAAAACTCTGAGAGGCAAGAGGGTCAAATAGGGCAGTGTGGGCTGGTTGGGTCTTCCTGGAGACTGGACCCAGCTGAGGCTCGACATGAAGCAAGACAGGTCTAAGATCCCCTAAGAATGTCTGGAACCCATTTGAAGAGATTGTGGCGCTCCTGGGGGACCAGGGGAACTTCCTGCAAGTTTTCCAGGAGGTGACTACAAAAAAATGCTACTTGTTTCATTTCTTTAATACAATAGACAATAAATACATTGGGAAAGCAGTCAGGAGCCAAGGTAACTAACATAGCTATGGGCTTTTAGAGAAGTGCTTTGGTCTTCAGTGTTCAAAACACCCCAGTGCCATAATGAAAGAAGACCTCAAAAAGCCTGTAAATTTCTTGGGGTGGATACCATTATTCTTTTTCAGAGAAGGAGCCTGGGCAGAGAGGTGTATCCTACCTCATCTCCCAGCATCCTCTATGATGTTGAGCTCTATCGCAGTGTCAGTGTTTTGAGAACTCAGTGTTGATGGGCTGCCTCTTCTATCCTTTCTCACTCTCTCCTTCCACCTCACTTAGTAAACTTGGCCCTCTGTTTCCTAGGAACCCTAAACGAAGGCAGACCTGGGATTTGGAGGCTTGCAGCCTCACTGAAGAATATGAGCTCTAAATTTCTACAGTCCTCCTTCTGCCCAAGGACAGAGGCTGGGTATCCATCTGATAGGCCTGGGTCCTACAATTTGTCAGCAGCTGTGGTTGGAATAGTCCCCCACCCCCAAAAAGGATCTGCTAGAGTCCTAATCTCCAGTACCTTAGAATATAATCTTCTTGATAGAGAAATCAAGTTAAGATAAAGTCTTTAGGGTGAGCCCTAATACATGATTGGTGTCCTTATTAGAAGGGGAAAATGGAAGATAGAATGCCTTTACCTCATACTGAAATTATGTTGCCATAAGCCAAGAAACATCCAGAAGCTAGGAGAAAGGACTGGAAGATATCGTATCCTGCCTGCCTCCTTTAGAAGGTGCATGGCCCCATTAACACCTTGATCTCTGACTTGTGGCCTCTGAAATTGTGAGAGAATAAACTCCTGTTGTCTAAGGCATTCAGTTTATAGTCCTTTGTTATGACGTCCCAGGAAACATCTATGCCAGCTATGTGACATCTCCATGGCTCCATTTCTACCCCTGTAGAATGGGGATGATATTGCACCGTCCTTCACAGAATTCTTAGGAAATAAAACATTGCGCAAAATAACATGCTATAATAGCTAATAAAACGCTAAGCATGGAGCTTAGTATCCAGTGCTCAATACAGAGGTGGCTGGCATTGTTGTAGCTGAAACACCTGAACTCCACCCCTACATAGCAAACACACAAACACAGCCAGCCGGAAGGGTCCAGCTGAGCCTGGTGCTCCTTCTTTTCTCCTTCAGAAGGTCCAGGAGAAGCCATGCATGGTGCTGTGTTCCTACAATCCCAGCTCTTCAGGAGATAGAGATTGGAGGGTTACTTTAAACCCAGGAGTTCCTGGCCAGCCTGGATAACATAGCAAGACCTTCTATGAAAACAAACAAACAAACAAACTGGTACAAAAACAGGGAGAACAAGCCATCCTCAAATCTGATTTGGCTCAAAAAGTAATGATAAAAAGCTTTCACGGTGCAGGGTCACTCAGGTTTTGTGTAGCTCAGGATAACCATCAAGAGGTAGCTGCCACTGTCATGGGTTTGCTTCATAAAACTGGTAGGGCTCAGTCTGAGTGAGCAAAGAGTAAAGGCCGTAACTCTGCAGAACAATAGGAAATACCATGTCCGAGGTTGGCACCAGTTAAAGTTTGTGGTTGCAAAAAACACAAGTCAGGGCTGAGGATTTAGCTCAGTGTTTCTGCTGCCTGCCTCACAAGCGCAAGGACCTGAGTTTGATCCCTGGTACACGCCCCCCCCCCAAAAAAAACCCCCAGAATTCATTCACGTTAGTTTAATCAGAAGAGTAAATATATGGGCTGGGGATGTAGCTCAGTGCAGAGGGAGAATTTAAAATGTACTCAACCAAAGATAGAGACAGGAAAATTGTGCATTGTCACAGAGGTGTGAGGCAGAAAGCAGGCGGCTGAGCTGCAGAGACAAAAGAGTCTGCAGTCAACTAGGGTGATGGTCACACAGCACAGTCTACACAGCAAACAATGGAAACAGCCATGGGCCCAGCAAAAAGTTGGCCGGGAGCTGGAAGTGTGGAACTGCTATCTGGTAGCTTGCTTTCTGGACATTATTAATTTTGTGAGCCATGCCATTATAGAGTGATAATGTTTTTAAAAAGTCAGGGTACCCTCAACTGCGGAGTCACTCTGCAGATGTGAGGTGTGTGTGGCCCCTGGCCTCCATCCTTTCCCCAGAACTTCTCTTCTAGGGGTCTCAGACTAACCCAGGTCCATGGCTCTCAAAAAATAACAAAAAGACTGGGAATATAGTTTAGTGTGAAGGCCAGGATTTAATCTTCAGTACCTGGGGAAAGTGACAGTACTCTGCTTACTGTCACTACGTATCATAAAGGCCACAACACAGGAAGAACCCAAATAACTAGGGAGGTCTTCATGCTTTCTCCAGGGTGTGCCAGAGTTGGAGTTCAAGATCTGACATAGCTGCCTGATGAGTATTTGGAATAATGAAATTATACCAAATTATATCAAAGTCATGAAATGTTCCCAGGATTAAAATTCCTTAACTTCCTAGGAAAACAGAGAGAGCGAGAGAGAGAGAGCGCTCAACCCAAAGCCTCTCCCAATGACCACAGAGGAGAAGAGAGTTGGAATTACCTAGGGATAAAGTGCTGGACTATTGCCCTAGGTGCCCACCACCAAAGTGGCAAGGAGGAATGGAAGAGCTACAAAGAGGCAGAGCCAGCACATCCTTTTGAATTAAGTGAAGGCTTCTATGGGACCTTCTATGGGACTGGTAGAACTTAACATATTCGAGCTGAGTGGTGGAAAAGGATGGAGCCTGAGGAAGGGGAGGAGCCGATATTCCCCAAGGATTGCATGATCTTCCCACCTGCTCCGCTTTCCTGACTCTGGTGCCTGGAGCCCACTGACTCAGCAGTAACGCTTCCCAAACAGTAACACTGTTAGCTGCCTGGGATCGCCTTCAAATACAGATTTGACATGGCCAGTCTGGGGTGAGTTGCTGCTTCCCAACCAGAGCCTCCACAGCCCCGTATCCTCTCCTAAAAAATCGGCCATGGAGGAAGCCATAAGGCAGGAGAATCGCATTTTGAGGCCAGTCTGGACAACTTAGTAAGACTTTTTCAAAATAAAATATAAAAAGGCCTGGAAAGGATACAAAGTCAACATTAAAAAATTAATAGCTTTTCTAGACACCAATAACAAGCTAGGTGAGAAAGAAATCAGGAAAACAATTCCATCCTCAACAGCTTTAAAAAAATTAATTTCCTAGAAATCTAATCAAGAAGGTAAAAGACATTTACAGTGAAAATTACATAATGAAGAAAGAAATTTTAGAAGCCTAAAACACCTCCCAAGTTCATGGATTGACAGAATGAATCCTTACCTTCTCTTCCAGCACTGTCCGCTTTAGCCAGCGCCTTGGAACTCTGCCCGCAGATCTTGATACACTCCTCCCTGGTCTCGAAGTTCTTCTGCTTTGCTCTGCAGCCACCATATCCAAAGGCCTTACAGCACCCAGAGCTGGCATTGTAGAAGTATCTGATCGACAGAATCCTGCAGGGACCCGTGAAGGGATGCGCCAGGCAGAAGGCGGGCTGTAGGACTGGAGGGACAGGGGAGAGTCCACAGTCAACTAGGAGAATGGTCGCTCAGGGGAGTCTACATAGCAAACAATGAAAACAGCCCACATGTCCCTGGAGCTGGAAGTGTGAAAACTCCATTTGATAGCTTGTTTTCTGGCCATTATATTAATTTTGTTAGGTGTGCCATTATATGGTGACAATGTAAATAAAATTATATACACCACTGACGTATTTATACATTAATTAGTTGGATGATGCTTGAGTTTTGATTTTAAGGACTACAAGACATGAAAAAAATGAAATTATCGAGGAAGAAGTGTCATATACTACATAGGTTGTATTTGGATAATGGATATATAAAGGTTTAGTATGCCATTTTCTTTTCTTTTTTACATCTTTGTAAGTTGCTATTTTTTTTTGGTACCGGGAATTGAACTTGAGACCTTGTGCTTTTGAGGCAGGTGCTGAAACCACTGAGCTAAATCCCTGGCCCCTAAGTTGCTATTATTTTAAACAATTCTTTAATCATGAAATCATGGAGGAATACTGTCAGGCTTAATCTGGCCATGACCTGTTTAATGATAAATATGATGTTTCATTCCAAGCTACAGTTTTAGCAGATACAAAAACCACAGCCCTCAGCAAAAACATGCTGCTCCTTGAGGTGACTAAAGTCCAGACCAGACTGTCGTCTCCACCCAGCGGACGGAACACAGAACGGGATGTTATAGAAAAGAGATAAGACTATAAAGTACAGCACAACCTCTTCCCGGCACCAAGTCACCTGATAACATCCATACATCTCCCTTGACCACTGCATGGACCTCGACCACAAATATTTGCTCCAACCCCTGTACGTGACAGACGTGTCAGAGCCCTTCCCAAGCCCCTATAGAATCCTCTGCCTTTTCTTTGTTCATCACTGACAGCTTTGTGGCCCTCAGTTGACCTGCACCCAGGTAAATAAAGACTGTGCCTCCTTGCCTTCCACTGGCCTGCTTGTGCGGTCTCATTCCTACGCCATTTGTCACAGATACAAGGAAGAAAACATACCGATTTGTTATTGTTGGCTATTTTGATGGGAACACATCAACATTTTGTTGGCATTTTGATGGGAAGTCTTAAAACCTTCTTTATACATCATTACATTATTTTATTCCTTACAAAAAGCATGGATTCCTTTTATATTTCAAAGGTAAGGAAATACTACTTTACAAAATACTGCAATTTTATAAATTAATAAATTTTACAAGAATATTCATTGGAGTATATTGTGGATTAAAAGAAGTACTATGGGGCCGGGGATTTAGCTCAGTGGTTTCACCTCTTGCTGCACAAACGCAAGGACCCAAGTTCGATCTCTGGTACCAAAAAAAAGAAAAAAAAGAAGTACTATGTCTGGTGACGTCTTCTTTTGGTGAAGTATAAAACACATGCTAGGAGCATGTGGCTGGCAATCCCTCATAGCAGCAGATTTCACTTTTAAATGAGACCTGTTAGGTCTGTGTATGGAGCCCAGAGCCCCACCCTCAGCTTTCTCGCTAACCTCAACGTTTTTCGACAGCCCTGCCCACCCGGCTACACGTACTGCTCAAGAACCATTTTAGAAACCCTGAGACTACATGTTCTCTAAGGTCCAAGTGGTGGCATTCAATGGCTGCCTGCCCTGAGGTAGAGAAACACATCACTCTGAGGCAGGTGTCTCCTCAGACACCAGCTGCAAGTTCCCGGGGAGACTCCTACTTCTGATACCTTGGATACATAAATGTTGGGGTTCCACTACCCAGCTCAGCTTTGATAATTCTCCTGAATGATTCACAGAATGCAAGAAGGCAACTTGAGTCTGGTGTAATGGTCTATGCCTGTGATCCCAGCACCCTAGGAGGCAGAGGTAAGAGGATCACAGGTTGGAGCTCAGCCTGGGCAACTTAGTAAGACTTTGTTTTAAAATAAAAAAAGGTCTGATGACGTGGCTGAGTGCAAAGGCCTGTACTGTAAGTTCAGAACTGTAAAAATAAATAAATAAATAAATAAATACGAAACTTTGTTCAATATAAAGGACACAATATAGGAATTGCCTGAATAGATGCATAGGGCAGGGCCAGCAGGGAGTGCTCAATGTCTTATTTTCAGCATGCCCCCTCTCAGTTCATCTGTGTGTTCACCAACCTGGAAGTACCCCAAACCCACCAGTAGGGGTTTCACTGAGGTTTTAGAAATGATTATTCAGCCACTGAAGCTTGAACTCACGCTCAGTGACCTATTCTCCCGGAGGGCAGAAAGTAGAAAGGAAATTTTTAACCCCCCAATCATCCGATTCATTTCTCTGACAATAGGTGCTGCCTGGGGGCCAGTGCCTACAACATCTCATAGGCACACAGGTGACAGGAAATGCCCAGGATTCCAGGAATGCCATTCCACGGACTGGGGACAGAGATTAAATATTTATTTTTTATTATATTGTATCAAAGACCCAGAGGTGGGACATGCTGCTGAGTAATGGCTAACTGAAAGCAAATAAAGCTTAATATTTCTCCCTTCATTCTTAAGCATCTCCCTGATTACCTTAAAATGTCAGATCACATCCCTGCTCAGCTCTGCCTGAATGCATGTTAATCATCTATAATACAAGGTTTATTAACCCTAAATTTATCCAGTCTACTGCATTTCCTTTCAAGATTGAGAACACCAAGATGAGTATAATCAAAATACATTTCAAGATTTCTAGAGATACCCAGGTGCCTGCTTTCTCAAAATCCATATTGAGATCTGGAACCATGCTTAGGAGTCTCCAAACTTGCCCTTAACCTATAATCACCGTAGGTTTCAGGAAAAGTAGACCTTCAGACCACTTGCTGATGAGGTCACCCCTCAAGGGGGAGCAATTTTGCTATGACAGGATCCAATTCTGCCCTCCCCGGGAGGAGCCTTAATCTCATGATGAAAATTGAAATGATGATGGCCTCCCAAGCCCTCATGCAACCAATCCTGAGAGATCAATCAACAGGACCACAATTTGACCAGCTATGTTCATAGGTGCCAGTTGTGCCAAGCAACCAACATTTGCCTTTTTTTTTCACCATTTCTTTAAAGCCCTACAACTTCTGGCAGCCTCTAAAATATAGATAATGACTATCATTATCAGTGCTTCCCAGCATGGTCAAGCTCCATTCCTCCCAGCATGGTCAACTCCTTTCCTGCTCTTCACCACTGTTGATCTCTTATGGATGTTATAGGGTAGATGGCTGTACCTGGACTGTTTGGACCCCTGGCTTTTGCCCCAAAATGTCAAGAACAATACCACACTGTTTCAGGGAGCTGACTGTGGCGTGGGATAACCAAAGAACAAAAATAGAGAAAATTTCAGAGATGGGCTTCAGGATCTAACAGAACTGTCTAGTGTGCATTTGATACAACAAACCTTTTAATCATGAAATGTCCTTGGAGTTAAAATTTTCTAATTTCTCAAAACAGAAAAACCAGAGACAGAATTTGACCCTACCCAACCTTTACCTCTGTTTCTTCAGCCTCTCCCGCTGATTGTGGAGGAGGAGAGAGTTAGGACTCACCTGGGGAAGAAACATCGGCCTCCTTGCCTTCATTTCGGACCACTAAGGTGGCAAGGACGACAAGGGGAGCTGCAGAGAAGCAAAGCTGGTGCATCTTGGTGACCTGGATTGGAGGCTTCTCTGTGACCTGGGACAACCTGAGTCGTGGAAAGGGACTGGAGAGGAGGGGAATGGAGAAGGGGAGGGGATGTCCCCCAAGGATTGCATGATCTTCTCACCTGGTCCGCCTTCCCGTTTCTGGTGCCTGGGGCCAACAGTCTCAGCATCCGTGGTGCCCAAATTGTAACCCTGTGAGCTGCCTGGGAGCTCCTTGAAATGCAGATTCTGATTCAGCCTGTTTGGGGTAAGCTACTGCCTTTCCAACCAGCACTTCCACAGTTCCATGATCCTCTCCTATAAAATTAGCCAAGGAGGAGGCTGAGGTAGAAGGATGGCATTTTGAAGGCAGCCTGGGTATCTTACTAAGATTCTTTCAAAATAGAATACAAAAAGGCCTGGACGGGATATAAAATCAGCATGGAATTATTAAGACCTTTTTTGTACACCAATAATAAGATAGCTGAAAAAGAAAACAGGAAAAAATTCCATTCATAATAGCTTAGAAATCAATCTAATCAAGATGGTAAAAGACACTGACAGGGAAAATTACCGAACAATGAAGAAAGAAATTGAGGATGAGATTATGAAAGGAAAATCCACACACATTCATGGATTGGCAGCATTAACCTGGACTGTTTTACCCCAAATAATCCATAGATTTAATGCAATCCTCATCAAAATTCTGACTTTCTTTACAGAACTAGAAATAAGAGTCCTAAAATTCATATGGAAATACTACCAGAAATGCTGAAGAGCCAATGTAATCCTTAGCAAAAACAATAAGGCTGTAGGTGAGACAGGCAGGAAGCACCGGACTCTCCATTGCCACCCCCCCTTCCCTTTTTGCGCCCCCAGTGGATTGGGACAACTCTCTTCAGTGTCTACTTTGACTATATCTAGCAGTCACTCTCCTCTACACCACTCCAATATAGGTGCAGCTCCACCTCACCTCCACCACTTCAGATGCTACTACTGCCTTTTTGAAGAAAGGTGTGGACACCTTGGCATGGCTAAGATCATCAGGAAGGGAGGGATCTGGGGCCCCTGTTAACATCCCAAAATCCAACAGCTCGGTTTCTAGAAGTTTTCCTGGTTTCAGCCCTGTCCCCTCACTGGATCAGTGCCATGACAGCTGAGGCTCTTTACAGCCCTGTACCAACAACAGGTCTGTACTTGAACAATCACAGGCTTGCAGCTGCTATATAAACAGCACTGCCCAGTCAATTTTCAGGTTAGTCTAGAAGGGCTCCCTCCCGTGTACTGACCCCTCCACCTCACCCAGAGCTGCAACACAGGCCCTGTTAAAGACTCTGTTATGGTTTGTGTCTAGATGTTCTCCAAAGCCTCATGAAGTCAGTCATAGGTGGGGCTTTTTCAGAGATGAGTGGATCTAGAGTGTGTGATGCTGGGATTGATTCATACTAGGCCCAAGGACACTAGGATTAAAGCTGTGAGTGCTACCTAAGTATCCTGGATAAGATATAAGGGGTAAAAGGAGCCATGATTACCCCTTGCTTGCTTTGCTACCTTCTGCCTACCATGAACTGTTTCTCCTCTACAATGCTTGTCTGCCTTGCCAACCTGCCTCGGAGCTAGGCAATTATGCAATGAAACCTCTACAAAGTATGAGCTAAATAAGCCACTCTCCCTTTAACTTTGAGTGTTGAGTATTTTGTCTCAGCAATGAGAGAAAAGTAACTAAGACAGAATTTGGTACCAGAGAAGTAGAGTTGTTACTGAGACTATACCTGATTATGTGGTTCAGGAGCCTTTGGGACTGGTTTGTGGGAAAGTTTGGAAAGGTTCAGAGATGTCAGCTGAGAAGGTACAGCTGGAATGCCTTAGGCAGTACTTGATGAGAGATTCTGGTCAGAGTTCAGAAGACCAGAAGGCTGATAGAAATCTTGCCAGTAAAGATCAGGTTCAGAAGTTTTCTCCTGGGAACAAGGACTGCCTTGGCTGTTGGGACTCCAGGTGATGTGTGCTATGGTTTGGCAGAAGGTTTTCTGCATTTTGCTTGTGTCCAGAGACCCTGCCTGAGACTGGGATTAAGGGTGGTGGACTAATTAATCTTGCAGAAGAAATTTCAAGGCAGTCTAATGTTAAGGCAGTGGTATGGCTACTGTTGGGGGCTTTTAGTCGTATTTATGTTGAGAGTCAAGAGCAAAGAGCCCAACAGAATAATTTAAATTTAAATGTGAGTTTCACCAGAAAAGAAGCTCCAGCAAAGTTGGGGCCTGAAAAGATGGAAGAGAGGAAAAATTGGTCGCTGAAAAGACTAGAAAGAAAAAGCCAAGTATTTCAGAAGAAGATAACAGAAAAGATGGCCTGAGGACATCACAAGAACCATCAGGACTCCAGTCTTTGCAGCCTCAGAGTTGAAAGGTGAAAGAGTTTGCTTTGAGAAGAGAGGCCCAGAGCACCATGTTCCAGGATGGTGGCAGCCTAGAGAAGTTGGGTGCAGAGTCCTCAGTGATCCAGGCGTTTGACCCCTATAACCAAAGAGGAAAGAAAGCCTGACTACTGCTCCAGCTGGCATCAGACCTTGGCTTTGTCTACGTGGTGGTGGTTTTAGGTGCGTGCAGAGTGCAGAAGTTGTGGGGTCAAGAAGGCTTCCACTCAGATTTCAGAAGAAGGTCTGGGAGGCCAGGCAGTGTACCCCTGAGAAAGCAATGTGTGAAGCTGTGAATGTGAACCCAAGTTGCAGTGAGACCCTAGAAGTTTGGAGAAGCCAGGAACATGGATCATCTGAGCAAAACTGCAAGGAGGGAGCAGAGCTGGCCCCAGAGAGAAGCCATGAGAGCTACTACCACCAGCAGCACTGTAAGGGCAGAGCCACCCAAGCCCTTTGACATTCACAAAGTGCCACAGGTTGCCAGGGATGCTGCAAGTAGAACGGTGGGATTTAATATTTACCCTGCTGGATTTTAGACTTGGTTTGTTCCCATTCCTTGGTACCCACTTGTCGGGAGCAATGCTACACAATTTTAGGGAAAAATCATTTGGTTAGCCTAGTTCTCCTGCCTACAGCCCAGCTACAAAATTCCGAGACATAATTCCATTTTGGCCTCGGGTCACAACTGAGACCTCAATGATCCAGTGACACTGTGATGCTCCAGGACAAGAAACATCCTGGGAGCTGAAAGCATCCTGGGAGGAACAAACATCTACTCAGTTCCTCATTGTTCTTGGACTGTTACCTTCTTGTTTACGCGGATGTACTGAACTCTCTGCAAGTCATTTGTTACATTTGTTTCTCCCGATGTACTGAGTACTGAGTACTGAGTAAAAGGTGCGGTAAGCTGGGGGCTTCCATCTTTGCTGCCCAGAGCAGCACTGATCAGACCCAAAGCTCAGTTCTTCTCAGTCTCATTTTTCTACCTTTCCTGTAATTCGCCTTGTGCTGCCGTGGCTCGCAGGAGACTAGGACTTACTGCAGAGGTTCTAGTAACGTCCCCTTTCCCTGTTCCCTACATCTCCTGTTTGTAACTTTTGGAATGGAAATATCTATCTTGTGCCAGTGAATGTTAGAAGTGTTTGTCTCTTTTCATTTGTACAGAGGCTTGTGGCTAAGAGTTCGCTTTAAATTTCAGAGGAGATTTTGGACTTCGACTTTTCAGCAATGCTGAAACCTGTTAGAACTTCGGCAACTCTTGGAGATGAACCGAAGGCCGTCTGCATAAAGGGCTGTGCAGGAGTCTATGGGGAGTCAGGGTGGAAAGTTATGACTTGTGTCTAGATGTCTCCCTCCCCTAAACCCTCATTCAGTCATAGGTGGGGCTTTTTCAGAGGTGGCTGGATCTAGAGTATGTGACGCTGGAGTTGATTCATGGTGCAATGCTAGGCTCAAGGGCACTAGGATTAAGAGTGTGAGTGCTACCTGCCCTAAATATCCTTTATAAGATATAAGGGGTAGAAAGAGCTGTTGTTGTCCCTTGCTTGCTTTGCTACCCTCTGCCCACCATGAACTGTTTCTCCTCTGCAGTGCCTGTCTGCCATGCCATCCTGCCTTGGATCTGGCCAATTATGGACTGAAACCTCTACAAACTATAAGCAAAATAAACCTTTCTCCCTTTAACTTTGGATGTCAGGTATTTTTTCTCAGCAATGAGAGAAAAGTAGCTAAGGGAGATTCACTTTGGTGATTCTGTAGATCTGCTTGTGATTTATTTCTAAGGTAGTGTGGGCTCCAAAATTCCTATAAATCCACTCAGTAGTGTTGACAGACCAGGTAAAACCTGGTCAGAGAATGAGGGTTACTAGGGGTGCAGCCTGGAGGGGTATGTCTTCTTTTTGCCTCTCTTTACTTTCTGTCTGCTATGCCATGAGCAACCAGCCCTCGGCTGCCATGCCTCTCTGCAATACTGCCTTGCTTTGGAGCCAGCTGATTATGGACTCTACCCTCTACCAACTAAACAAAATAAACCTTTCCCCTTTGTAGGTTTCTGGTATTGTGTCCCATACAAGGAAAGTAACTAAGACATTCAGTATCAGAGACGAAGCGTTACTGCTGACCTGATGGTTCAGAAGCCTTTGGGCCTGGTTCAAGAGAGAAGTTTGGAAAGGGTCGGAAGTGCTGGCTGGAGAAGCAGGCCTAAAATGCTATGTGCCAAACTTGATGGGCAATTCTGGTTGGGGCTCAGAACATCATAATGCTGATAGAAATCCAGATGGAAAAGACCAGGTTCAGGAGGCTTCTACTGAGAACAGGGACTCCATTGGCAGGTGGAACCCAGACCATGTATGTTATGCTCTGGCAGAAAATGTGTCTACATTTTGCTCCTGTCCTGAGATGCTGTGGGAGACGGAGATTGCAAACAGCAGTTAAGATGTGTTATGTACATGTATCAACTCCACACAAGGAAAGCAAACACGTATTGAAAACACATTTTAAAAAAAGAAGGAGATCAAAAGGCGGGTGGAGCGGGGAGGGAAGGCAGGGAAAGGGGATTAAAAAGGAATTAAGATGTATTGTGTGTTATGTACATGGACCAGCTTTGTACAAGGAATGTAAACATTATGTATTGCAACATGTACA